CCACCACTGCTCACTGTCATAAAAGAAAATCTTGTTGCTAGGACACAACTAAACATGGAAAAGCTAAGGACACTAAGCTGTGAAAATTTGGGATAGAAAAATATTCTGATATCCATGAACCTAAATTCACTTGTGAAATATGGAGGCATAGAGATTGACAAAGGAAGAAAGACATATATCCATTAAGATGACTTTTGAAATCATTTGAGGCTTAAAAATCTAGTACCTATAAACATGAGATATGTAAATTATTATATAAAAATTGATATTTTATATCCACATTTGAGAATTGACTGTCAATTCTACTCTAAAAGGTTATCAATTATCTTTTCATTTCTTTAAAAAACAGGGTTAATCATAAACTCAGAAAAATACAATTTTTCCCCTCTGATATGAAAGCTTTAGTTTTTGCAGGGTAGCATAATAAGTGTTATTTCATTTTTATCCTCTAATGCTTTCCTAAACAAAAATGAGTTCTCTTCATTTGATTTGGTAAATTGAATGCTAGTTGAGGAGTCCCAAATAGTCTTGGTTTCAAGCTTGACTTCTTCTGAATAGTATGCCAAATTCTTTTCCTTGACCCCAAGGCACGAGTCTCAATGGGAAAGCATCAGAGAGTGAGGACCCAGAAGGTCTTGAGACTAAACAGAGTCCATGAGGAATGGGAATTAGTACCAGATTTTTATTCTTCCAGGCAGAAGCAGGCTAAAGTACATTAAGAAGTAAGATTAGGTATATATATCATGACACTGTTCATTTATTTTTATATGAGAAATAGGCCTATCTGCATGAAAATTAACTGCATCTCACGAGGAGAAGACGTAAAACTGGAAATCTGTTCACATCATCAACAACAGATGAAACTGGAATCCCATAATATCACATGCCTACATAATTCTCACATCACTGATCCACAAATTGGACAGACCTTTGCTGGATTTCATAGCAGAGACCAGTAACAAAGCTCTGAATTACTCAACACTGATAATGCTTCATAAATAACAAAGTAACTGACCGTTTCATTATATACAATTCTTAGATGAGCCTATTTACACTGGGCTTACATAGCTGTATATAGCTTGTTTTGTCACTCACTTTAAATAAGTATTTTTATCCTCATTATATATGATTCTTAGATGAGCCTATGTATGCTGGGCTTACATAGCTGTATGTACCTTATTTTTATCTGGTGTGCAAAATGTAACTTTTACATTTATGCATCAGGAAAGAAAGTCATGTGTCATAATACCTACATACAATCTGGATAGGAAATTGGCTATTCATCCACACTCTGGTGGTCAAAACAACCTCAGTGTTTGCTATCAATCAATCAAATCTCACTCATCAGACTTTGATGAGAGGCCAGTGATTCTTGAGGTAGTTTCATCATGAAGATAAACATAGAGTTGGCTGTTCTTATGAGTCAGATGAATCAAATAAATAGTTCTGCAGAAAGACATATATAAAATACTGTTTTTGTATGTGTGCAGGTTGGTCCTGGGGCTTGAACTTGGGGTCTGAGGGCCATCCTAACAAAAATGGAAGCCATTGCAATTATTATCATTCCGCTCCAAGTCCTTGTATGCCAGAAATGTATGCTGACTCAAGAATCGATAAAGTCTGGAGCTGGGGTTGGGTACCTGTGACCCACACCTTTAATTCTAGCTAATCAGGAGACTAATATCTAGAAGATTTGCAGTTTGAAGCCAGCTATGGAAGAAAAGTCTGTGGAAATCCATTTCCAAAATAATCTGTAAAAAGCAGGGCTGGAGTCATTATTCACAGGGTAGTGCACCTGCTAAGGAAGGGCTAGGCCTTTAGTTCTAACCTCAGTATCATAAAAAAAATGAGTTGAAAGATGTTGGAAATGAAGTGAAAAAAAATTTAAATAGCAAAGAGATTGAAGACAAGAAGTTAGGAGATTAAGTAAAAGAATTGTGTTGGGAGGAGGCGGGTAAAGCATAATTGTAAAATATGAAATAGAAGGTCTGGATTCGGAAGATTTCCTGAATGAAGATCATCTCTTTGGTTCATCTTTTTTTTTTTTTGTCCCAGTCCTGAAGCTTGAACTCAGGACCTAGGCACTGTCCCTGAGCTCCACTTCAGGTGTTTTTTGTTCATTTGTCTGTTTTCGCTGTTAATTCAGAGTACAGACTTTCCTGTTTCAAACTACCATCCTCAAATTTCAGCCTCCTTGGTAGCTAGGATTACAGGTGTAAGCCACCAGTTCCCAACAGTTTACCCTCTTTTATAAAAATGTCTTACATGGTGCCAGCTACTTCTTTCTTATACATCAGTGCCCCTCCCCGTAATACTCACAACTCCCTTCCTTATACCATCTTAAAAATAAAAAGCAACTCTGTTGAGAATGAACTATACAACTTGAGGGTGGGGATGGGAGGGAAAAATTGGGAGAGAAGGGAAAAAAGAGGTGACATTGTTCAAAAAGTGATATACTTTTTTCCTGAGATAAAACGGTGACCCATATCACCTTTATAATAACAAAAAACAAAAAGCAAAGCAAACCAACAACCAAAGTAAAGTCATTTTCCAGATAAAGATCAAGATGTTCCCTTCCCTCTAGCTTTCTTCCTCTCTGCATTTCCTTAGTTTATCTTGCTGTCTTCAAGATGAAATGGGAAGTGATTGAGAGACTATATTTTAGTGAATGGGGTTTTGATCACAATCCCCAAGAAATCTCCAGGGATGGCTTTTCAAACTAAAACCAATTTCACACCCAGTAGAAAACTCTACGTTTATGGAAGGGAAACCTAAATGAAAGCCTTCTAAAAAAAGTCTTCCTAAAAAATGAGCTGGTTCTAAATACAGTGGCCCAATTGCTATCAAGGCCTCTTCTCTACCTTACAGCAAGAAATAAAAACAGGCTAGCTTTCTTGATAATACGTGTGTTATTTATCCAGAGCAACAACAGATACTCTGGCAGACATGTTTTCCTTTGTAACAACGTGTCTAATCCCACTGTGAATCTTAGTGCATGTTTATTTACTGCTAACGTTTGAAAGACCAGGAGAGGTGAAAGTTGAGTAGTAACTTGAGGTTTATACACACCCAGAGTAAGGATAATTCCATTTGTCTTTGTATATCTTTTTCTTATTAGCTGTTGGAGGTGATTCTTGGATCAGGAAACTAAGAGTCAAGGCTTCCCTGGTTAATACAGATATATATTCTCTTTTCATCAAGGCCTGTTGGAAATACTTATGGGGAGTGCTCAGCAGAGAGAGCAGTGAACTTTATATGCCAAGACCCCCCGAAAGTTTACACACTGGATTACTAGCACCACCTCTCTCAGAAACCTTAGATTAATGTAAACTGGTTTTTTAAAAATATTTTTATTATCTTTAAGTAGCTGTACAAAGGAACTGCCCTTCTACAAAGTAGTTTCTGAATATGATGCATCTTGATCGGTGTCATCCCTTTCAACATTCTTACCCATCCCCTCCCAACCCACCCTTTACCTTACTTTTATTATTGCCATTTAACAAAGCAGTTTATATAGGCAATGTATCTTGATCTGTGTCATCCCTTCAAAGTCTTTATGGAGTTTCTTCCTGGGTTTGAAAATCTCACGTTAACACTACATTCATGCCCTTCTTGCTTTGAATTTGATTAAAAGTACTAACTTAAGATGGTAGCTAGGCTCACGCCTGTAATCTTAGCTACTGCTCAGGAGGCTGAGCTATAAGAATCTCTGTTTGAAGCCAGCCCTGGCAGAAAAGTCCATGAGACTCTTATCTGCAATAAACCACCAAGAAGCCAGAAGTGGAGTTGTGGCTCAAGTGGTAGGACATCCTCCTTGAGTGAAAAAGTTAAAGGAGAGTGGCCAGGTAGGTCCTGAGTTCAAGACCCAGTACTGCCCACCCCCCCCACACAAAACTGATGGGACTGGTCATTTAGTGATTAATGGTGAAACTGTTTATAGTAACATATGTGGATCCATCTCCAGTGTTTTTTCAAACCTAATATATTCTTTCTTCACTGCTATTATGTACCTTATTTTGGTGCTTCTATCTGAACACCATGAACAGGCCCACAACTCTCCTCATTGACAGCAGTCATATTTCTTACTGAGAGAGAGGGTCATCCAATCTTACTTGACAATTAAGAAATAGCTAATGGCAACTTGAGAAGTTGTTCAGTGCTGGTCTCTCATGTTACTGTGTCAGATTATTATTCATCTTTTTCTTAAAGTTCATGCTAGAAAGTAGGACCAAATTCTTTAGTGTCTGCACAGTTGGTTTGAGGTGAAGCACTTAGCTAAGTGATTCAGATACTCTTTTCTTTGTCTTCTTATGCAAAAGGACATTCAGATATTTGAATGTGGCAAGGCAAAAAAAATGGGCCAAATTTATTTCAAATACATTCAATACTGACAACATCCTTTCTGTAAAAATTTAAAGATTATTTCTGTAGCTCTTGACTGTAATCCTAGCTACTCAGGAGCCTGAGAGTAGAGGATTGAAATTTGAAGCCATCCTGCCCAAACAAATTGGAGAGATTATTATTTATAATTAGCCAGCAAACAGACAGAAGTGAAGGTGTTGCACAAGTTGTAGAGCACAAGCCTTGAGCAAAAAAACTAAGGGACAGTGCCTAGGTGCTGAGTTCAAGTCCTGGTATCAGCACACGCACACGCGCACGCACACACACACATACACACACAATTAGTTCTCCCAAATGGAAGAAATAAACATGTATGGATGCAAATCACTCCTGTGTTAGTTTTTTACTACCTCATCAATGATATAAAAAAAAAACCTAAGGATCTAAGTGATGACTTAATTTTGATTTTTTGGAATGCATGCCACCTACTATCCATAAAATAACCATCAGAGAAGGAAACCAATGTAGCTAATATCTGTCTGCATTTAAATGATTTTAAAATAAGTGCTTATATGAAAAATCGTCATTTTTTGGTGTTGGGGCTGCTTAGGAACTAAGCAGATCACAAATAAGCTTCTTGCGTTGATTTTCTGTGACAGGACTGGGAATTCCCACACTTCATGGGCGCCGTGGATGTGAACCTCCCAGGTCTGCACACTCCTCACATGCAGTTCAAGATCCCTTTCTTCCAGAAGATCTTCAAGGAAGAGTACCGTATTCACATAACAGGTCTGTTCTAGAATTCTGAATGCCATCTGATAATCTCCTGCCTGGGGTTTGCTGTCAGAATCCAACCGTGCTATTGGAGAAGTATGAGTTTAACTCTATCACTCACCTAGCGATGCAAGGTGCATCTTGGTTGACTGGGGACCTGGTGCTACCAGTCTGGGATCTAGGCTTCTAGCATCTTTGACAATCACAGGATTTCCACCCAGCAGAAAAATGGGAATAAGTCAGGCCCAGAGACACAGAGGATGAGTGCTTTCCCATATATGTGAACGCTTGATTTAGCTTATGAAGTTATAAGTAAATATGATGGGTGGTGTGCAAGTGTATACATTTGTATTGATTGAAGTATGGTAGACTGAAAGGAGATCTCAAATAGTGCAATTCCTTAGAAAGTCAAAATCAAAGTTCAGCAAAATGAAACACCAGGAAGCAAGTACTTGAAAGGAGTAAGGTGGAGTTTGAGGAGAAAAGGGTAGATGAATGAAAAGGAGAAGAGGGGGGAAATGCAGAAGAGTAACAGAAGGGGTGGGGCGGGGAGGAAGGGGTGACAATGTGGAAAGGGGTGACATTGATCAAGATATATTGTATTCATAAACTGATTAACTCCTTTGTATAATTACTTAAGACAATATTTTTTTGCAAATAAGGGAAACCATGGGACCTCTGTTTCTTTGGATTACTTCACTTAATATAATTTTTTCCCAGTCTTTCCATTTCCTAGCAAATGGGGCAATGTCATTCTTTCTGATGGAGGGATAGAATTCGATTGTGTGTTTATATATATATATATATATATAGAGAGAGAGAGAGAGAGAGAGAGAGAGAGAGAGAGCACATTTTCTTGATCCATTCACATACTAAGAGGCATCTGGGTTGGTTCCATATCTTAGCTATGGTGAATAATACTGTGATAAACACAGTTCTGCTAGTAGCTTTAGTATGGCCTTGTTTGTGATTGTTTGAGTAAAAAGCCCAGAAGTGGGATTTATGGGTCACAGGGTAGCTCTACGTGTAGTCTTTTGAGGAACCTCCATACTGCTTTCCAGAGTGGCTGAACAAGTTTACACTCCCACCAACAATGCAGTAAGGTTCCCTTTAGGCCACATCCCCTCCAGCATCTATTATTCTTAGGTTTCTTGATTATAGCCATTCTAACTGAGATAAGGTAGAATCGCACTGTTGTCTTGATTTGCATTTCTTTTATGGCCGAGAAGTTGAGCATTTCTTCATGTGTCTATTGGTCATTCTTATTTCCTATTCAGAGAAGTCTCTCTTTAAGTCTTTAGACCACTTATTAATAGGTGGTTGTTTCTTTGAGGATTTGTTGTTGGGGGATTTAATTTTTTGAGTTCTAAGTATATTTTAGATATGAGAGCCTTTTCCAGACAAGCAGAAAGGTCAAAAGCTGTGTACATATGACCATATAAGATGATGCTAACCAAAATGAATCCCAAGATAGGGACACAGAGGGTTTTTTCTTTGTCGCTGTTGTTTTTAATGTACTATGTGATTCTTTTGGTTTCTTCTGTATGTTGTTTTCCCATGGTATAACCTCTGTTTTCACTGTATTTGATTTTGGTGCCCTGCATCTTGTATATACATTTTTCTAATTTGGGGAGGGGAAGGGAAATAACAAAATGCTGAAACAAGGATAGAGGTTGTCCCATTGTAACAATGGCACATACAAGACACTATGTTGACAACGAACTTTACAACTGTGGGGGAGGGAAGGGAGGAGTACGGGAGGTGGGGAGGGAAGAGATGGTAGGGGAAAAACAAAGGAGGGGATAACAATGCTTGATAGGAAATGTACTCACTACCTACTCATGTAACTGTAACCCTTCTGACCAGTATCTTTACAATACTTTTTAAGACAATAATTTTAATTAAAAAAAATGAAGAAGCCAAGCCCCAGTGGCTCAGGCTTGTAATCTTAGCTACTCATGAGGCTGAGATCAGAGGACCATAATTGGAAGCTAGCTTGAGCAGACAAATCAGAAACAGTCATCTCCAATAAACCAGAAAAAAAAAAAAGGCCAGAAGTGGAAGTGTGGCTGACATGGTAGAGAGTCAACCTTGAATGTAAAAGTCAAGTAAGACGGCAAAGCTCTGAATTCAATACTGTTACCAGCACATGCACAAAATAAAAGAGAATGGAGAAGAGATTAGAAATGAGTAGCAAGGATCCTCTGTTTCTTTTCTTTTTTTAGATAAACAGATTGAGTTTATTTGAAAGATTGTAGCAAGACTATCCATCTGGAGAGGGTTCCAAAGAATAGTCCAGGAGACTCCTTTCAGAGGGTGGCTATGATAATATAGGGCTCCCTCATTTCTCTTCTGCTAGGCTCTGCACTGATAGATTGATGGCTTTTCCATGCCCACCTCTCTGGCTCTTTTTATTGGTTGAGTGGGCACCCAGGGCATTATGGGAAGAAGCATTTGAGCAGGAGCCTGGAGCACTATGGGAACAAGAAGTATCATCTTAGGCCACATGTTACCTATCCTACGTAAAGGACACCACTTTTTATCTCTGTCTGTCTCACATCTTCACTTTCTGGCTTATCTGTGTCTTAACCACCTCGGCTGGACAAGAAACATGTCCAGTGTACTCATCTTCTGTTGGCAGCGTTGTAGATTACTCTACTTGGAGTGGATTTGTAGTTATTCCTGCTATATTCCATGGAGCGCTCATCTTTGATCTTGCTTCTTGGGGCTTCTTTTCCATTCCATGTGTATATATTTTCACCTTTAATACACTGTCGGCTTTATTCACTTGCTGCTGATATGAAAACAATGGTTATTTTCATGCTATATCCAGTCCACATAACGTAGGCAGTTAGAGCAGTTACCATTTGACTTCATAACACGACTTCTTTCTCTCATCTCAGGTGTGTCTCTCGTGGTTATTTGTAGATCTCCAGATTAGTTTATTTTCAGGTACTTGCTGCTTTCAAAGTGACTAATGTATGATTTATTAAAATATTCTTTCATGGCATCCCAATCACTCTAAGCTAAAAAAGAAATGATTACACTGCTTGTAGTTATGTCTTAGGTCTTTTCCTCCCTCCTTTCTAACCAGGAACAGACAGCTGGGTGATCACGGATAAAGGGTGGCATTCATTCCCAAGCTATTCGCCGTTCTGCTGTAAGGAATGAGAGAGAGAGAGAGAGAGAGAGAGAGAGAGAGAGAGAGAGTGTGTGTGTGTGTGTGTGTGAAGGACAATGGTTTCAGATTCCACACCTGCTATAATAAAAACTGCCAGAGAAATCTGTGCTTACACTACCGTCTGTGCAGCCTTATAAAAATAGCCTCAGCACAGAAAATATTAACATCTCAGTACTGAAACACACACACACACACACACACACACACACACACACACACCACTTTGCTTCCCAGCTAGGAGGGCTGATTTTCTCTCTTCTTTTTCTTTCTTTCTTCCTCTCTTTCTTTCTTTCTTTTCCTTCTTCCGTTCTTTCTTTCCTCCTTCCTTCCTTCCTTTCTTCCTTTCTCTTTTTTTCTGAGCATGAGACAACCTTTCTAAATGAGAGAATGAGCTCATGAATAGGGAAGATGTGGCAGCAGCAAGTTTTCTCTCCCTTTTCCAAATGAACGAGGCCCATCTATTAAATACACTGGGTAAATCAATTCATTTGAGTTCAGGTCACATCGTGTGGTTTCCGAGCCCCCAGTTAGTCTCCACAGCATGCGACCCCCTTGGCCTTCCAAAGCAGCAGCCACACACTCACGCTATTATCACGTCCCTTTGGGTGGGCCTTGCCTGGGCCATCTGTTCCTGCTACCAGTGATTGTCCCCAATCACCCCTGCACTAATATTGTCTCTGACTACCATAATGCATGTCAGAAATGCGCTGTATAAGTGCAGAATGTTGAGGGAAGGATCAAAAAGAAAGAAAGCAAAAAAGATTGGAGGGCATATTGATGAAAGAAATGTGGAGCCATCAGATATAGCCAATGTAGGGCTGTTTCCCATGCCTTGGTTATAAACACTATTATTTATAGAAGGGACAGAGCCCAGTTTATAATGTCGAATGTTTTCCCAATTTGGAATGCTTTATTAAAAAAAAACAAGGATGCATAAAAATCACATCTGAAATTATAGGCAGTGCCTTGGAAGGCGGCCATGCATTCAGGACTCTCAGAATTGGCATTATTATTAGAACTGGGGTAAAACAAATGTTACTTTCCACTCAGATAAAAGTAAATATATGGCTGAAAACTCTGGTTCCATCAAGTATTACTTTCTAGAAACTGAAAAAAGAAGGCCAACCGCCAGTGGCTCATACCTATAATCCTAGCTCCTTAGGGGGCTAAAATCTGAGGATTGTGATTCAAGGCCAGAACTGGAAGAAAAGTCCATGAGATTTTCATCTCTGACTAACCAGCCAAAAGCCAGCAGTGGTAGAGATGGTAGAGTACCAGCTTTGAGCAAAAAAGAAAAAAAAATCAAGAACACAAAGCCTTGATTTCAAATCCCTGTACCAGCACACACATGCACACAAGAAAGATTAGATAAGGTGTTTTTTATATGTCGTCTGCACATAATGTTTTCCAGAAGTTAGTAATATAGTGTAATTAATATGGTAATAATATTTTTAAATGATACTGATTGCCAAGTTATTAGAAGAACTTGATAAAAAGATGGATTGTTGGGCCCCATCTAATGGTTCTTTTTATTATTATTATTGTGAAAATACCATACAGAGGGGTTACAATTACATGGGCAAGGTAATGAGTACATTTCTTATCAAGCATTGTTGCCTCCTCCTTTGTTTCCCCTTCCCATCCCTTCCCATCTCCCCCTCTCACCCCACCTCCCCTCCCCCCGTGCCAAAGTTGTAAAGTTCATTTTCAACATAACATCTTGTACATTTAATTGGTGCAATGGGTCCACCTGTATCCCTATTTAAACAATTTGTTTCTTTCCTTCCCCTCCACAAATTATACCAACATCAAATACAGTGAAAACAGAGGTTAT